AGAATGATGATGACTGTATGATGATGACGACGATGACGACATGGTGGTACTAGCTCCATCCAAACTGTCCGTGTCAAACATGCGACATATATTTTCGGCGTTTGAAATGTTCTGAACGCTCCTGGCTTTCCATAATGATTTGTTTTTGTTGTAATTTTTGTTGTTGTTGTTGTTGTTGTTGTTGTTTATAGAGGAAACGAATTCAACGTTGTTGTTGGGCAGCGTGTGGAGCATACGTTTGCCGTGAACCGGATGAATAGAAGCTGTGTTGCTGCAGCTGTTGTTGTTGTTGCTGCAGCTGTTGTTGTTGCTGCTGTTAATGTTGTCAACAGTTGTTTTTGTTGACGTTTGTTGTTTTGATGATTTTGTTGACGATGATGTAATGACACTGGCACCATCATCGTCTTTAGTTCCCTTGCGAAAATTTTGACCTCCGTAAACATCAACATCATCATCATTACCTACGCCATCACTGATACCACCATCATCATCATCATCGGCAACATTGTTGAAATTGTTGGCGACATTTGAAGTTGCCGATGTTGATGTTGCCAGCATGGTGTCGTCGGGGCATTTGAATGTTTTCAACAAAGTTGAGTAATTTGTTGTTGTTGGAGGAGGTGGTGGTGGGAGAGTTTCTTCATCCGCTGCTGTTGTTTTTATGTATTATTTAAAGAGGAATTTATTTCAATTATTTTAAATAATTCTAAATAATATTGAATAATTTTAAATAATTTTCTTAAATAATTTGAAATTATTTTCAAAATAGAGAAAAAGAGAGAGACAAAGAGAGAGAGAGAGAGAGAGAGAGAGAGAGAGAGAGAGAGAAAGCGAGAAAAGAAGATAACTTCGAATTGGAATTTTGAATTTGATACATTTGATAAAAAAGAATTATAAAGAAAGACAAACAGACAGACAGAGAGAGAGAGAGAGAGAGAGAGAGAGAGAGAGAGAGAGAGAGAGAGAGAGAGAGAGAGAGAGAGAGAAAGAAAGAGTGAGTGCAAAGGAAAAAATAAAAGAAAGAGAAATAGCAAGAGAAGGAAGAATGAAAAAAAAAGTTAAAATAAGAGATAAGTTGAAAAGTTAGAGAAGATAGTAAAAAAATTTATCAGAAATGTTTAAAAAAGTTTTTTAGTGATATACACCTCGTGTGTTTTTATCAGAATCAAATCAGTTGCATCAATTCGCGTCAACAACAACAGCATCAACAACAACATTAACAACAGCAACAAACAGCAACAACAACATTAACAACAACAACATCATCAACCTTACCTCCATCATTATCGGTTGCCATAGTAACCAAATTACCAGTTGATCGCCTTATGTTGTTGCGTTTGTTGTTGTCAATGTTGTTGTTGCTGAGCAACAGGTTCGATTTTGTTGCAGATTGTTGTTGCTGTTGTTGGCGGGGAGGGGTGATGATTGAGAGCTTGAGTGTTTCTCCTGATGATGATGATGATGAGACGAGGACGATGATGATAATGATATGAGAAGTGACGATGATGATGACGACGACGATAATGATAATGATGTGAGAAAGTGATGATAACGAAGACGATGATGATAGAAATGATGCTGGTGGCGAAACTGATGATGAGTTATTGATTTCTTTAGTGTAAAGATGATAAAATTCGAAAGAGAGAGAGATAGAGAGAGAGAAAAAGAGAAAGAGAAAGAGAAAAAGAGAAAGAAACACAGAGAAAAGAGAGAACGATAGAGAAACAGAGAAAGTGAGAGAAAGAAAGAAAGAGAATAAAGGGATAAAGAAATGATTGCTATAATGATAATGACAACATTATACGGTGTTGATGATGATGATGAAAGACGATGATGATAATGATGCCACACCTGTATTGAGGATCAGTGAAACTGTATAGTCGTGAGATGCTGAAGTCACATCAATCTCATTTACCTGTGTGTGTGTGTGTGTGTGTGTGTGCGCGTGTGTGTGCGTGTGTGTGTAATGCGTGCGTGTGTGCGCGTGTGTGTGGTGCGTGTGTGTGTTTCTATGTTTTTGTAGGTTTTTACATCTCTTATGGAGGTTTCCATGTCTGTTCTTCCATATGTGCCTCTATCTTTTTTATTACTGTTTTAATTTATCTAATTTATTATTGTGCTGTCCTTGTTTCTACATTTCTTTCATTGTTTTACTCTTTCTCTCTCTCTTTCTCTCTCTCTCTCTCTCTCTCTTTATCTCTATCTTTCTCTTTCTCTTCGTTTACATATGCACATCACATTCACCTGCGTATGTATGTCTAAATGTTCGTGTGTGACAGTTTAAGTTGATAAACCTGTCAATCAAACCGAACGCACGCCCACTTAATTGCACAGTTACATGAAAAAAACTTTGAAAAGTGCAGGCGAGCACACTAACAAAGATTAGAAAAAGCAACGTGAACAGACAAACAAAATTTATACTAACATACAAACATGCAAATACACATACAAACATAAAAACCTACATACAATTATGCAAACACACATACAAAAATGCAAACATACATACAAACCTACATACAAACATGCAAACATACATACAAACATGCAAACACACATACGAACATGCAAATACACATATGAACATACAAGCACACATACAAACATGCAAACCTACATACAAACATGCAAACATACATACAAACATGCAAACACACATACAAACATACAAACACACATACAAACATGCAAACACACATACGAACATGCAAACACACATACGAACATGCAAACACACATACAAACACACATACAAACATGCAAACACACATACAAACATGCAAACACACATACGAACATGCAAACAAACGTGCAAACATACAAACCTTCAGTAAGAAATCTCCAGTCTTGATTCCAGCAAGACCAGCCAGACTATCTTCCTCCACACTTTCGAAGTATTGCAGGGCGGGGAGGAATGGGGTGGGCGTGAAAGTGAGA